GGGGTGGGCCCTCGAGCCAGAATCTGCACAGAATCTGTGCTGCTCAAACGATTCGCTTCGGCCGGACACACGGAAGTATTTGTCGGTGGGCTATGCCTCGACCTCCGAGCTGTTATGTGGTGAAACGCGTCCTCGATGCTTCGCGGCTGGGATGACCGGGCATCAAAGAAAGGCATGCAAGGCGAATTCGGCTCTCATGTCAGCGCCGAACCGAGGCGACCGAGCCCGGCCCGGTGACGGTGCCCATCGGCGGAGAGCCCGGAGCACCTGCCCCAAACAGAGCAGAGTCGCCAGAGTCAGAGCGCTTCTTAAGGTCCAGGGCACAGAACCAAACCTTCGAAGGTGTGGCAACGCCTGGAGGCTGCGAAAGGAAGTTCGCCCGGTCTCCGAGGATCTCCGATCTCCGAGGCGTCCGCTCGCCACCGCGGGGCCCATGGGTACGGGCACTGGCATCGCCTGGGCCGGTACCTTCTGCTGCAGGCTCAACCTTAGAACTGTGACTCCTCAGACTCAGACTCTTCTGGTGCCCCCTAAACCCTCTGCTTTCTCTGAGGCGTCCACGGCCGGGACCTGGGAACCCCAAGCCGGTTTGCTGCGATAAAGCACTCAGGAGTCACTGAGGCTCCCGGCAAGCTCCCTGCCGTACTCGGCCGCGAGACGAGGTAGGTGCTCGACCTGAGCAAAAGCCGACGGAAAAAGCCGGTCCGAGCTTCCCGCGGCTCTTCACGCAGGAAAACGCACTGCCCAGTACTCTGCTGGGGTGTCTTACGCACTTGTGGCTCCCATGGCTCCCACTTCGCCTTGAATGGCACCGTGCCTGGCCGCAGCGAAGGTCTCTCTGAAGACGTGCTTTCGGGGGCCGCTCGGGCCGGGACGGGGTGCCGCTGAAAGTGCTCGGACGGATCTCGTAAGGGATGCTCAAAGTCCTTGCGCTCGGCGCCCGGAGACTCTGCACGCTGCACGCACAGCGTCTCTCCGAGGCCCAGTCCGATTGACGCCGCTCACTTCTTTTCCCTTTGCGAGTTGCACCACCTCTCCGAGTTTCTTGAGGGCACTCCTTCGACCTCCTGCAGCGGGTGCTGCTGATGTCCGGCCTCCGCCTCCGGGGCCTTCCCAGTCCGAGACCGCGAGGCCGCATGGACCTTCAAAGGCGAAGAGGCGCGAAGCAGGGCCTGCTGGGCCTGGGCCTAGGCCTGGGCCTGGGCCTGGGCCGGCTCCGCCACGGCCTCCCTGGGGCACTGCACCCACCTCGAAGCACAGAGCTCAGGCACAGACCACCGTGATCACCGTGCTGCCCGAAAAGCCTGAGACCCTGGCATCCACGTGGTGATGAGCCGATAGGGTGGGCTCTGATCCTGAGGCACTGGGATCGCTGGGATGCTGCCCAACACCATGCCCGGCCCCCCTGCGCCTTGTCCTTCTCATCCACTTGTCGGCGCGCGATGCAAGCATGGAGCGCCAGCGCGTGGCTGTCGTCGTAGGGTACCCGCTGTACCAGGATGTTCCGCGAGGTCTCAGCTTCAGATTCAGGCTTCGGCTGAACCCAGATGCTACCGCTCAACAGTGCACGAAGGTGATCCGCAAAGGGTCTGAACCCAAAGGAGGGCAACGCCTCTTTGATGTGTCAAGGATCTTCGGCCGCAACCCATCCAAGAGGCAAGACTGAATGAAGCTTGGTCAGATGACGCAGCTGGCAACCGCACAATCGGTGGCATGTCTTATTTCGACGACTTGACAGGTTGTTGAATGTGCTTGAACCTCCTTTCTGCCATTGTAACCTCTCCCGAGGACTTCACAAAGAGTGTGGCGTCGAGGCCCTCCACCTGAGCTACCAAGCAAGTGGACACGGTGTGAACCTTGAGTGAGAGTTGAGGCCAAGGGAAGCACCCATGCGCACTTTTTGCAGACCTCCAGGCGCTAAGGATACTGCATACAGCAGGCTATGCAGATATCGCGGCCTCTACACCCTGATGGTCTGTCTCGGATGGCCACAGTCGCAACACCTTTCCAGAGGTGCGAGCTCTGAGGCAAAGAAACACCATCATTACCAACATTTACCAACAATGGCTGGCCTCCCGAATGTAAATGTCCTCCGCGGCGCGCGCTTGCACTTACAAAAAAAATCAACACGCCATAGCAGCCCTTCACTCTTTGCATCCTTGACTTCGTTGTTGGATTTGATGTACTTGCAGGTGTCCTGCTGCACCTCTGGTCAAGCTCGGGGCGGATGTCTCTGGCATCACCAGGCGTTGTCCCCGGATGGAGGACTACAACGATCGCAGAAACCGACACGCAGTGCAGGAATGCGGAACTTGATGTCTTGGTCCCCTTGCCCTTTTGATCCGTCCGGGGAGGATTTGCGGCACTCTTTCAACACTTCTGCTAGCCGTTAGCCTGGCTTTACTGCTGAGCTTCATCTCTTGACGAGCACTCTCTGCCCTCAGTCCCTTTCGATATCTCGGCTCGGGTCCCTGACACCAGCACTATAGAGACGTTCGTCCGCTAGCACTGGTCCGTGACGGTCGGTACAAGTAAGAGCATGCATACCGGAAAAACCCGAGCAGAGCACGCGCCTTTTTTCGGATGGCTGTAGGCGTAGCGATTCGGTCCGGATAGGCCGCGGTCAGATATCGGACCGGTAATCCTCGAGATCGGCTACGGATCGGGTCGGCCGGCGGACCGCGATGCGGCACGGCCGGCCAACGGGAAGGACTTTGCTGGGTATACGGCCTACGGAGCTAATACAGAAATAGAAAGTCCAGTAAAGTCCACCGGAAGTCCAGAACGGGAAAAATTCCGTGACAGTAAAATCCAGCAGGATTGGTGGAGCAAGGGGACGGGGGCGGGAAAGAAAGGCTAGTATACCGTCGGCTAACGGACCGGCATACCTGAATGCAACGGCTGCGGTCGGTACACCTTGCCGTTGCGAGCTAGCGGACAAACACATTACGACTCGTCGAGAAATCGGAAACCGGATACCTGGGGCCCAAGGAGGCCATGAGGCAACGGGCTGGTTATCTGTGTCTGTTTATCTGCTTTGGAGTGATGTCTCAGGGGGCAATGGTGTCTGGAGTGAAAGACGACCTAGCCGCAAGGTCGGCAAGGATCTTAGCGCAGAGAGTGGTACAATTTAACTCACCGACAGTTCTGCAGCTGAAAGACAGATTGTGGCGCTGGAGACAGCGGAATCTCTCAGGCAGAGTAATCTTGGCTTGGCATGATGTCGAGGATAAGCTATGTGCGTCCAACGCGATCCTTGGATGGCAGCGTCTATGAGAACCAGGCAGTGAGACCGGCCAGTTCGCTGCCCGCATGATGTGTCATGTATGCTTGTGTTGCGATCGCAGGTTCAAGGGAAAGGCTACGAATGACCCCGTGAGTCGCAATAATATAGCTGAAGCTCTGTCTGCAAGGCAACAACACTGCATCACGTGTACGATTCGGCAGTGGAGAAACTTGCGCAGGACTTCTTGAGCTAAAGGCCTTCAATCAAGATACAGCGCTTTGTGAATGTTTCGGAGTTGCGAGCCCATGGGTACTGGCTAAACCCGATGGAGCCACCTCAAGACCATCAACAAAACCCTAAACCCTAAAACCCTTCCTGCACCGGCGCCATGGATCTCCCGGAGTTGACTTTGAGTGCTTCTGCGCGCAGGTGTGTTTAAGATATATGACGAACCGGAATCGCCACATGAGGCGGATGTTTAAGATGTATGATGATCCGCAATAGCCAAATGAAGGAATATGTTTAAGATATATGATGAACTGGAATCGCCAAATGAGGGCGGGTGTTTAAGATATAGGATGAACGGGAATCGCCCAACGGACTAAGGTATGTGATGAAGCGGAAATTGAAAAAAGGCTTTTAGTTGTCATGATTGCTTTTTCATGAATTTCTATTGCTTTGTCCTGTTTGTCTATTTTCAATGATTTCTTACTGGTTTTCGATTGACTTTTTCAGGTAAGTCCCTAAAACCAGAGACAGAAAGATGCAGATAACCCAGTAAGCAAGCCCAAAGCGTGGCAGGGCCCTCGAAAACCAGCCAACAAAAGTGCAGATAACAAAAACATGTGCAGATAGCCCAAAAACAACGACGCAGATTACTTCTTCTCCGCCCAAGACGGCCCCGGCCTGGTGTTCCCAGCGCCGGACCGCCTCCAGCTCTGCGTGCAGCTTCCGCAGCGGGTCGTTGCCTCGCCAGACGCAACTCGGCTCTCCGGCCAAAGGCCGCCCATCGGGGCGCCTTCCGTGGCCAAGGCCTTCGCCTCGGAGATGCGGGCCGCGCGCGCTGTGAGCGCCTTCGCTTCGCTGGGGCCCTCGGCCAGCCACTCCGGCAGGTCGTATGGCCCGGCGTCCAAAACGTGCTGCCATCGCCAAGCCAAGACCTGCCGCGAGCGCTCGCGTTTAGGCCGCGACGTATCCGTTTGATGAAGGCGCAGCTGAGGACCCATCGGCACCCCGCTGCGCAGCGCCGAATTGCGAGATGATGTTCATGGAACCTGCCCACAAAACAGAAATCTGCCAAGGAATCTCCCTCTTCTGGGAGCTTCCTCTCTCCGCTCCTTCCAGGCCGCTGGCACCAGCCACCGCTTGCACGTCATGCCGCACGGCGGCCTCCTGCCCCCGGGGTTTTAGTTGGCCCAGTTGGCGAAAGAGAAGCGTGCGGTATAGGCCTGGATGGAGATGCCCTTCCAGTAGGCTCCACCGGAGTTCACCTGACAAATCAGCGAATCCAACGACTTGCACCCAGGGAAGCACCAAACGCCTCCAGACCCAGCCGGTACTCGTGACCTGGGCCCATCCCTCAAACCTTTTCTTCAACAGCCTGACTCGGCTGCGCGAAAGTCATGAGATTCTTCGTCTTTCTCTTCAGGGGGCCCTCTCCGGGACATGGAACGCAAACCAGCAACCGAGACGATATTGACATTTAGTGAAGTTAGTGGTTTGCAACTGCAGAGAAACCGCCGCCAGATTCTTCGCATGAAGCAGTTGTCTGAGCAACCTGCACGGAACGATCTCCTGAGGTGAAGGAAGAACTTGCGCACAAAGATACGCAGCAGACCTAAGCGACAGTCCTCGTTGTGGAGTAAAAAGCTTTGACCATCGTAAGCCTGTTCGGGTCGTATCGCATCAATCTCTGCAGCAGCTTTTTCATATTGGATCTGAGCCTCCAGGAAGGAGTCAAGGTACGTTCCCCCGGAGATGACCTCTGAAGGCAGCAAGTGCCCGCCGTCTTGCGCCCCGGAATCCCTTCGCCTCCTCCACCTCTGCAGGCAGACGCTCCCGGCCCTCTGCCTGGCGCCTCTCCAGTGCCTGTCTCCTCGCGTGGCACGGTGGCACGGAGGCAGGGCGGGGGGGGGGGGGCGAAGTTTTTCTCTACAGAGCGCCTCAAAGCTTCCCGGCAGCTCTCGAGGTGCCGCTGACTGGCCCGGAAAACGTCGATGACGGCCTCCAGCTTCTCCTCCAAAGATCCGCCCGGCCTTGGCTGTATTCGCTAAAAACAGTTCGAGACAGTTCAAATTCCCTTGTGACTTCTTTGTCTTGTGGTTTGGGTCGCCTGCTGAGGCTTCGGCGCACGGACCTGCTCGAGGAGGTCGTCGCTCATGCCGGGCACCTCGCCCGAAGCCAAGTCGAGCCCTGGCCGGCTCTGGCGCACCTCGCAGTGCTCGGCTCAGCACTGGTCAGCTCTGGGAGCTCACGGCCGAGCTCTAAGCCCACATTGGCGTGGACTGTGGCGCAAAGCCGCAACTCTTTTTCACATCCTGGACCTCGGAACTTCTCTGACTCTCGTAGAGCCAAAACAAGAACCCATTGGTCCTTTAGGCAGGCACCCAAACCCACCATGCACTCTTCGCCATCGCTGGCGCGGCTCTGGCTCGATAACACGCTCCGGGAACTCTTTTTCCCTACATGCTGGCATGCTGGCTGCAAAGCTCTCTGCAAGCTCTTGATGCTGCTACTTGTAGCATGCAACACCACTATCGAGCCTTGGAACGACCGTCGGGACTAACTTCACTGAGTGATCCGCTAGAAAAAGGCACCCCACGCCCGACATCGATATCCGGGGCCGAATGCATTCAACATGTCTGATGCTTTTCCGCTGCCCTCCAAGACGATCTCGACGATCAGTGCCCATCTTCGCCAGGCCGAACTGAGCTCGTGCTTCCTGCCCCGCTTCTGGGCAGCTTCTTCATGTCGCTCTCCGAGGATGTCGCGCATTCAGTGCCATCCACCTCCACGGCCGTTCTTGCCAGCGCCTCTTCCGCCTTTGCTCCCGTAGCCACCACCATCCCAGCCGTTGTTCCAGCCCGATCCGCTACCGCCACCACCCCAATCGCCGCCTCCCCGGTATCCCATGCTGTTGCCAATCTGTTCCTTCGAAACGAAAAACTTCTCCAGCTGGCTCAAACATCCCCTTGCAGGGCCGTTTGACATGACTCAACTCAGCTGGAGAAGACGTTGCACGGCTATGCCTGAAGCTGTGGAACTTCGTCTCGAAGAGCTTGATGTTCTCGTTGACAACGTCTTCCTCATAGGACGTAATAACACGGTTGCCACAAAATCCTGCGCAGAACTGATCGTGTCAGGCAACCTTGTCCAGGATTCCTTCCTTGGTTCAACAACTGATACCCCCTCCCAACCGGGCACATGCACAAAGAATTTGCCGAGCTGCCGCCACCTGTAGGCATTGCTTTTCCTCAGTGGCACATGCAGCAAGCTTATGCATGGGTATTGGTCTGATTTGCAGCTCCGGCACCATGTAGGCTCGAATGGGCGGCCGGCACAGCTCTGCATCCAGCTCCTGGCCACCACACGCTGAGAACAGAGTCTTCCAGCGGTGCGTGAACATCGTGAACTTTGTTCCCGCAAGTGCACCGGGAGTCGGAGAGGCAGGGTGTGGCGGCGGGGGCGTGGGGCAGCGCGGCAAGGAAGGGGAGCGGAGTGGCAGAACGAAATTGTGTCGAACCACTTCCAAAGAGACCTGTTGCAACAGCGTTCTTGATCATCGGCTGTCACACCCATACCATGTACGCGCAAGATGCTCCAAGATAATGCCGGCATACTGCCCCAAATGACCAGGACCACCACGACGACCAGGATACCATCGACCACCAGGAGACCAGCAGGACAGAGCAGCCAACATGTGTTCCCTCATGCACTGGCAGGACACACACACACATGTTGAACAAAATGATGCCAATGTATTGAAGCCTGAATTTGCTTCGAGTCGAGCTTTCCGGAAAACGGCCTCACCGATCGCGTGTAAACTTCGTGCCCCTCTCACGCCAGTTTCGGCCACATCAAGCATCAAATGTCAAAGCCGTTTAGCACACCAACATATGTGCCACACTGTTTGGAAACCCCGGCCCGCGCACCAGAGACATTCCTTGATTTGAGCCTTTGGTTAAGAACACCAGCGGTTTCCAAGGACCATCTACAGCAATTCGCACGCCGGCGTCTGTGCATCCTTCATTGATTCATTATCAAAACGATGCTCAGCACGGACCACAGCAACCTCCGGAAACCACCAGCGCTACAAGCGGCCACCAGGGCATTACCAGGAGACCACCGGCAGACCCCAAGAAACCATCCCGACATTTGTAGAAACCACATCCAGAAAGACCATCAGAGGGCAGCGCAAAAAGGCAAGGACCGGGACGAAGGACGACCAGCACCAGTTAAGTTCCTCCCACGCCTGAGCCTCGGAAGCATGCTCGGCCGCTCAGGGACCCCTCCCCTCCTCGAAAGCTGCGCAGAAGCTGAGTCCCAGTGATGTCGGAACCTTCGAATACTTTCGTCTTGCCGGCATTGGAAAGTTTTTGGCGCTGAGGCACTGACCATGTGCCGCGATTGCGGCTTCTCGCCGCCTTGAGCCTTTCCGTCTTTGCCTTTGCCTTTGCCCTCCAAAGGGAAAAAAGTAAAGAATCAAAGCCACGACGACACCGTGACTCCAAGCGCCGCCTTACCGGCCTTCCCCTTGCCTTTCTTGCCTCCCTTTGGTATTCTCTCGCCGCGCTGGCCGTCTTCTCCAGGACCACAGACCATCACGTAGTTCCGGTTGCAGATGTTCTCCTCAGAAAGACTTAGGAGTCAAAAAGACTTCCCAAATAAGAAAACTCTTAGCTCAGGCACCACGTGCTGCGGGATGCTGGCATCCGTACCAATGCCATGCTTGTCCATCAGAGCCACCAGCTCACTCTCCTTCCTCAGTAGTGCCAAAAAGCTCCCACTTTGTAGCAAATTCGGGAGAGCCTGTTGTGAGCTCCTGGCAAGTAGTCTGGTGGCTTTGTGAAATCGCTCTCGACCCAAACCTCCTCCACACGGAGAGGGCTTCCCGGTGCCAGCCGGGGCATGGCCCAGTCGATCTCGTTCAGATTTAGATCTTTGCTCTTCCAGGGCATGGCGAAGAGGAAGCCCCTGCAGTCCAGGGAGCGAGGTGAGGTCCCGGCAGAAAATGAGACGTCACAACTCTGCCTCTCCCGCATCTCGTGGAAGGTGTAAGCGAAGTCTTCCCCGCCAACGTTCACGATCAGGGCCTTGGGCTCTCGCGTCGGTTGAATCCTTGGACACCTCAGAAGCGCTCCTTCTCATCATACTCTACGTCCGGCATCAGCGAGGCGATAAAGTGCCTCATGAGGAGATGTGTGCGTCCGCGCCTTTGGGAACTCACACGGAGAAAGACCACAAGCGCTGGCATCAGATGGCCTGGTGATGAAGTCGTAGAGCCGCCACTCAGATCCTCCCGATCTTCACCCAGACCCATCCTATCCACCTTTACCCTTGTACTTGTGGACAGCACCTGGCCTTTGCTGAACTCGTCCCGGGGTGCGGCCTTCATAGGAGTAATGGGTGGGTGGTCCCCCACATCGCGGCCAGTCTTCGGATTCCGGATCTGCCCTTGGCGCAGCAAATGGCTCACCGTCTTTCCCCAGGCCGGATGGTCTGCTTGCTCTCGCAAGGCTGCGTGAAGGTCAAATGTGTCCGAGTACCTGAACGGAACCCAGCAGCTCAGTTGGAAAGGCAGCTGTCACAGAGCCGGAACCTGGTTGTCTCGGTGCGGGGATAGGAGATGTAGCCAGAGGTATAGAGATGCTCAGCCACCTTCATACACTGCACGGGGGACATTCCTCAGTTTGCGAGAAGCCGCAGGCCGCACTTGCTCGAAGTGATCGCTGCACTGCTGGAGAGTCGAGCGGCCAAGACCAGTGCTCGCGGCTTTCAGTAGCTGCACGGTGTTCAGGCCTCCGTGTGAACACCATGGGCAACGCAGTGCACACTACGACTATACTGTCCTGCCCTGAAGCCGGAAAGTGGAGGGCGCGGCCAACCGGCTTCTTCAGGGTCTTGGCAGTGGTCCTGTCTCCGCAACGAGACTCAACGCCGCTTCGCGCTTCGCGAGCTCCTGGCCTGAGCTCCTTGACGACGGCTTGCTTCGCCGACTGTGCCCGTGACTGTAAGGACTTCACGCGACCTTCACCGATTTCTCAGTCTCAGTCTCCAGCCGCTGGCCTGATCGACCTCCGTTAGTCACCGTTAGTCGTGCCTGCATCAAAGGTCTGGTCCTGGAGCCAATCGAACTCCAAAGGCCAGCCGTCCAAGTTCACAGAAACCTTGGGCTTGTAGAACTCTTGCCTCGAGGACGACGTGACAAAACGAGCGGAGGCCTTTTCCGTGACCACCTTTCCCCGCCTCTGGAAGTTTTGAATCTCCTTGTGCCTCTCGACGCCTCTGCGAGAAACACCGGCAAGTAATCCCCTTTTGCCAGAATGTTGGGGCGTTACGACCTTCCCTTCCACAGAGCCCCCGGCAAAACCAAAGCGTGGGTGTCTGGCAAGGCCCGTAGCTCAAGCAAGTCTGATCTCGCAGGCGGAACCTCGAGCCATCTTGCAGAATTCTGCGAGCACCTCACAGCAGGGTCCTGGAGTCCTGCCCTCGGCTTTGGCAAGGGACTTCTCTATTGCGTAGCGCAAAAACTGGCGAGTCATGAGCCGCGTGAAGATGCAGCCGATCTTCAGGTCTAGCTCCTGCCGCTCTGCGATTCCCTTTCCACACTTCATAACATCCGAAGTAGCCCGTCCTGCCGAGCATCCACCTTAGGTAACGCCCCACAGATACACAGATGGACGGACGGACGGACCCACCACACACAGGCGCGCACACACACGCACAATCACACACACATGTGCAGGTCCCCAACTGAGTAATCAAAAGAGTATGGCAACTCAACTTGTATAGTTGACTGCTTATCTGATTTGTTGCTTGGGGTTCTCGGCTTAGCCCCTCGCCAAACCATAAAATTGCAGGTATGTGGTTCCAGCGTCCCGGAACCATATCAGCACACTCTGAAGAGCCTCTTTGCTAGATGCCCACCCTTCAGGTGTGGGGCATCCCCCTGCATTACAGACTCACCCGCTCATGACCCACAAGCAAATCCTTCGTTACAGGAGACACACACACACAGCCAAACACACGCGCACACCTAGGCATCCATCGCGCAGCCACTCATCTGTTGTATATCAAGCACAGCTTGATGTATCTCGAAAGCATGAAGCTTTCAGGGGGGCCAATCAGGACTCA